CCTGTACCTAGAAGCACTTTGGTTAAGCTAATGTGACCAGTGCAGTGTGCTGGAATGCAAACTCTGTTTGCACCTTCTCCTGTGCACCTGGAGCGTAGCAGGCGTGCATTTTCTGAGGCTCATGTGGAGGCCTATGGCCCATTAAGAAAAAGTCTTAATTCTACTGAATGGTACAAGTTTGAGCTTCAAATTCTACTTAAAGTACGTAAAGTAAAAGTACTTTCTTCTGACTGACGTCCGTGCCTTTATTGAATCATAATTGCTGATTTAATAATGTGTTTAATCAATTTAATGTTGAAGCTGTAGATGATTTTAATTACTTAATATATCACGTTGTTGCTTTATCGATAATACTGCACCATTGAACATTAGTCGGTTTATATTAAAATATATGATGCAGGTTGCAAAGTTCAATATTTGCATTGGAAATATTCTGGAGTAAAGCTAGATGGTATCATAACATGGAAATATTTTGGGGTAAAAATTGTGGATGTGTTTAGTGAAAAGACAAGTGTCTCTGGCACGTGAATTCTGGCATCCTTCATCTCCACTACGACGTCTGAGTGATGTTCAGCTTACGCAGCGTGAGCGAGATAAGCCCAGCACGGGCAGCCGCTAACTATTTTTAAAAAGGTTTTGTCTGTTTACTGTAGTATAAACTCTTTTAAAATGTAACTGAAGCATCTGCAGCTAAAGTGAGTTTATAAAATGAGTTGTGGATCAGATAAATATTATTATCTGTTTAATAAATTGTGTTGAGTATCAAGTGGGGAGCTGTAGCTTGCATTGTTTTATGCAAGGTGCTGGCATGGTGCATTTACACATGAGATGTTAGACTCTGGGTTACCGGGTTAATGAGATGAACGGTCACAACTTAACAACAAAAGTGTGACTTATGCCTCCTTCACCCCCTCTAAGCTCTAAATATGAATCAGTAAGGACGTGTGAAACAAGGAGACCCTCAATTTTCATTGCATACACTGTTTGACACAAACCTCCAGTCTGGGGGCTCAGTGTGTGGACTGGATGGAAGTTTTGAGGCGTGACCATCTAATGTCTATGCATTCATGCAACACTGGGCCCAGTGCTGCAGCTACATTAGCAGATATGAACAACTTCCAGTATTTTTAAACCTTGCGTTTTTGTCTGTGACTGCTGGAGCATTTGGACATGCTGGTTTTCAGCCCAGACTCCACAGGTAGCATTGGGTAGCAATGTATTTTAAACACATTTTTTTTGTTATTGTTAGAGTTTCAGAAGAGTTGATATGATTGTTGGTTCTTTTTGCCAGCTCCTTGAGAACAATAAATTTCGATGTTCTGACAAAGCACTCAAAAATAAGGGCGGTACATGTTTGCTTTGGACTCACTGGGCACTATTTGTCTCCAACACGACTTCCTGCGAGTTGTATTTTGTCTGAGAAAGGAAGGATCGAGTAACCAATTTAGAGTTGCCACCCAAAGCCGAGTGCCCGCTTTCCCCACAAGGACCAAAAATACACACAAACAGAGCTGTGTGCCTTTTTGGGAATGGTGTGTGTGGCTGCTTATATTGGCGTTTCCCATGTTATCCTTCAGGTTTTTTTCTGCAGCACAGTCACTTGAGACAGTCTTTTAAAAGTCTTGTGAGTTTTTCCCAGTCGGGCACAGTTTGGTCAGCACCTTAAACGAGGGCCAAAGTCTGAATCACACCCTCGGCGTAAGTGTGTGATTAGACGAGTTGGTGTTTTATGCTTACTGTATGATCA